TTTTAAACCCCTATCATGTCATTAAACTCAACTACCATTACTTAAACCAACTTATGTCCATGAAAATCATCTATAACTTGAAAATCCTATCCTTCATATGTAATTCAAGAATCATACTCAAATTTCAATATGTTCTAAATACCATTCTAACACTTCATATTCCTTAATTAGCATAATGACAAGTCAAATTTAACTTCAAATTCAACTTATCAACTCTGTTCCATTATTTCATATAAAAACTCATTTTCTTAAATCTCTTATAACTTCTTCATCTTTTTGTTTTAGAACAAATTAAGCTTTCCTTAAGCTTAATTATCATCTAGTGATCATAACCCAACTTTTAAAACAACAAATAACCAAGAAAATAGAAAACTCACCTTTGCTGTGGCTTTCTCTCGTATGGAAGAACAAAGAGGAGAAGAAGATATATTCTTCTTATCCCTTTCCTCCTTATATATCCTCAACATAATACAATTTAATCATTTAATGGTTAAATGACCATTTTGCCCTTTAATTCTTTTAATAATTACTAACAATCCTTTCAGATAAATCATTGAATTATCCAATTATTCTACTTTAATCACCAAATTCTGAAGTTTTACAATTTAGTCACTAACTCGTATTTTGGGATGTTACACAGACTGAGTCAACTTGTCTGAGTCAACTCTCCGAGTTAACCCGTTGACTTTGACCAAAAAGTTAACTTTTTCGAAAATGTCCTATTTTATGTTTTTCGACGTCCTGAGTCTGAATTCGAAGTCCGTTTTGCCAAATTCGCACCCAGTAAGCTATTTTTCAGTGATTTACCTTCGGATTCTATATGGTTTCTCAAGTAAGTTCAATTTCCAACGTAAAATTGTTTGTTATGTATCCGAGGAATTATTGGACATTGAATTAAAGTTCGAGGGCGATCGAATGGAGTTTAAATGGTCGATTGATATGACACAAAAACGAGATAATACTCTACTACCTTTTGTATGCTTTCAGAACTCATAGACAGATGGTAAATGTGTGAATGGAAATTATTGGTCCATTAGATGTATTTAACTATACTCAGACATAAATTGGAATAAAGACATAACATTAAATAAGACTCAAACGGCTCGAAAAAGAGAATTTGGAAGATAAATTGGAAATAATTATAAGTTCAGTGATTCAATAATAAATGAATTGGTTTCAAGATCCGTAAATTTTAATAAATCTCTTTAAAGGTTAAACACTGTGATTATTTGGTTAAGAAATTTCCAAAAATAACCCTATAGGGTAAAATTACGAAAATGCCTTTGTACTGTAAAAGACCAAGACTTCCCCGGATGGTGAAAGATAACCCATAAAAGACATAATTGACCAATTATCAGAAATACTACATATGATTGAATTGAAATGAATTACTGAAATGTCCTCGAACTTCGTAATAATTATAATAACCTCCATTGATCAAAGAAACTAGAATACTTGAAGCCTAATATATTAGAAGTAATGTCACTGACAGATTTGAATGAAATGACGATGATACGCTTAAAGTGTAAAAAGCACAATGAATGACTATGATAATAGAGACGACCTGAGAATTCATATCTTGAACCTTGGAATCATCGATTTAAATTCCAGACCTATATTGGAATGCTCATGAAGTGTAAAATGACCCAAAGAACGTCTAAGCACTGTAATAACTAAATACCCTCCAGCTCTGAAATGAATAAATGAACATCGAATACCAAATGACCTAGAATTTCTATTTTCCGAGATAACACCAGAGACTGAATTATCGAAGGTACTTTACACGACTGAATTTCATGAAATGACTAAATTATATGACCAAGTCGAACGGAATGGAAGAAATGTATGTATCTGAATTTTGGAAATGATTGAATTACTATCGAATCTATGAAGTGATCGGGATAGACTTATCTACTAAATGACCTATGTACCTTCAAAGACATATAATTAAGTGAATGAATCAAACAAGTCTGGAAACGTTGATGAACTTATAGGTTGTATTGCCCTCAAGGGTTTTAATCCCCGAATCAAGTACATTGACATTTATTAATATCGTTGCAATACATAAAAGAAATAAATACCACTGGAATACCTTTTCGTCTCCTCAAGAACTGATCAAGGATGATTTTAATATTGATCAGATCAACTGGTGCAATTTGTAATAAGAAGTGAATAACAATGAAGTATCACAATCTAAATGATTGACCAATATTGCAGTGTTGGGATTTAATCAATTAGAGTTGACCCGATATCCTAATAAATTTACATGAATCTTGAATACCATGAATCTTGAATACCATGAATCATCGATTCATCCTTATTAGATTAAGTTACTAAGAATCCACTAGAAATCATAATGTCTAAAATGCCTTGTTGGCCTGAATAATATAATCACTCTCAGTGAATTTGAATCTTGAATTATTCTGATGTAAAGGTTCCTGAACACTATCCTAATGCACGTGAACCATAAAGGGGTCCTAAAGTATCAACTTTATATGTCTGATAGATCCTTTAGTAATTGATCCCTTTTAGTATGACCTTGATCCTGGAACTCGATCAAATTACATAAGTTTCATGTTTTCCATTCCTGAAAATTACCAAGTGTCTTTGAAAAATACTTGGATCCTCTAGTGTGTTCCTTATGTCCTACATGATTGTTTTATTTGTTTTGAAAAGAGGTTCATCGAAATTCATGATTTATTATTTTATTGATTTATTGGTTTACTGGTTGATGGTTTATGGACTACGATTGAATGATACATGATATTGGAATATTTGTTTTCACTAGAAAATATAAGTTTGCAGAATACGAATTATGGAAGTTACTGTTCATTATGAGAACTGTTTTAATGAAACATTTTCTTTGGGAAGGCTGGAGAGTAGACGTTCAGCTCTGATCAAGTTGGGAAATCCTTACGGACCTAAGACGATCCTTGGGTAGGCTCTGAGGCCCCGAGATCTTTCTTGGGTAGGCCTTGCGGCCCCGAGATCCTTCTTGGGTAGGCCCCGTGGCCCCGAGTAACTTTTTTAGGTAGGCTCTCGGCCCCCAAGGCATTCCTTTAGGGTGACTCACTTTGATGTGTGCTTAGGGTAAGACCTTATGGATGCAATTCTGGAGAACTGCATAACGGTGTTCGGTTGGAGGGTTCCACTATGGTTTTGAAAACATGTTTTAAAAAGTTACTGTTTTAAAAAGATCTATATCTTTTCATTGGTTTTGGTTCGAACACACTAGACATCATATTCCAATCTCTTGGAAACATGGTTCTCTTAATGTTTCGTATGAACTGAGATCTTCATGACTTTTACTCGATGAACTACCAGTGGAACCGCAACTCATTCTGAAAAACTGTATACGTCTAAGTCAATAAGAAAATTTTATGGCTTTCCATTTATCTGTATGTTCTTCAGCATCATCTGGTAGTTCTGTAATACTGAGCTTCCCAAAGTTAATTTTTTACTTCCATTTTAGGTTAAAAGGATCAAACCAGTGCAACTATTGACATCAGTAAAGGAGTTCCACCGGCATTGCTTGCGTAGTATGGTGCATGTGATTAGGGGCATGTAGATTGTATTTTATTTGTATATGAGTCTGAAATCTTTTTATTTCCTAATATTGGTAAATTTTACTTTTGTATTTATAAATTGTTTTTATGATTTTACATGTTTTAATAAAAAAATTTAATTTTTCCTGTAATTTATACGGTGAGTCGCTTCGATGACCTTAATGTGACACTCCAGATCGAATAAGGTTACCCGCATCGACCGTTCCGACACAAATATAGGAGCCGATCTAGCATCCACGATATCACCAATTCCAGAGATGGAGAAAAAGATACCCTTCAGTTTTACAAATGTAAAGAAGGTTTTCAGCAAATGATATTTTTCGCCCAAGTATTTGTTGGAGAGTGGAGAACTTTAAAGTCCTGAAAGTTACTAAAAAATAAGTCAAACTTTATGAACAGTACCTGTACTTTATGCAGATTGCTGAATTAGTTCTTGTACTTTAATTTCATTATTTTGATCCCTCTACTTAACAAGTTCAGAAATTCTAAATTTCCAATCCTACTATTATCTGCTATTTGCATTTTCCATTATTTTGGCGTTATCCATTTTTTTAATTTTTTTTACTTACTATTCTATTGGTTCATTTGGTAAGATTCTTGGATTGAGATTTCCCAACCCAAAAGTAGAGAACATAAATTAATCGTATTAGAGGACCAATTCCACAACCTGCTTAAAGTATATGAACCATTTATACAATTTGAACAGAAAAGTGTCGTGTTACCAACTTTCTTGCCACCCTATGAACCAAAACTTTGTTGAATTCATTCGAAGATTCAGGACCTGGAAACATAATGCCATCACTATCATTTGAAGATGCTGGTGGATATGACCGGGGATTCAAAAAGCGACTGGGTAATGACAGCTGATCTCACATACAGCTTGTTTAGACCGGGTAATGTCATGAACCATTTATTATGTCCGTAACCGTGATAAATACAACGCGACTGAAAACACAACCATAATCATAATTTAAATTCCTGGATATGACAGCTGATCTCACATACATGGCTGGCATGACATATCTCAAAAATGTTCCACCTTCACTCACTGCATCATCGTATCTTTTAACCATGCAATTTGTTCCTCAAATCTCTACCTTTGTTCCCCTTCTTTTCTTTCTTATATCAGTATTAAAGCAGAGGCAGACATCAGAAAGCTGCAATTCCAACTCATAAAAGCTTCGAATCCATGATGTCTGTTAGGATCTTTTCTGATTTTAAAAGGTTGTCTCAACTAACCAACCTTTTCATTTTTTGCTTTTAAATATTATCTTTATCCTTTTTGATGAGCAACAGGTGACTCATGCAAACAAAAAAAGTTATGTTCAGCCATCCCTTTAATTACCATTACCCAAATCCAAAGTTTCATCAATCATCACAAAATAAAACAACTCTTCCTTTTCCATTTCATCCATCAGAAAAATAATGATCCAGATGCCTGATCAGGTCATTGGAGTTCCGATAAAATCGTCAACATACCGAATTGAGGGAGCATCGAGATGCTACTTACCGGATTCTGCTGGCCAGTATCAAATTCCATCACCTGCTGAAGGGTCTAACACATTTAGAAAAGGTAGGTTCTCTCATTTAATCCGTGAAGGGTTTTGAAACTCATAATGAAGATGTTTTGTAGTGCTAATGAGAAAGTTTTGGAATTTCAGGCAAAGGAAATTTTGTGGTTAAAAGGATGAACAAGCTTGGGAAGAAGGCTGATACTTTCGCACATGGAATCCGAGAACATGGTATGATACTCTAAAGTCTAAACATATCATTTATGTATGTATATATACGAAAACTAAAGTTACCTTTGAAAATGCAGTGAGGCTGGGACCAAAGATCAGTGAAACAGTGAATGGAAAGTTGAGTTTGGAGGGCAAGAATTCTTCAAGTAGGAGGTGTGGATATGATATTCAAACAATTGTTTTGTGTCGGAGAAGGGGAGAAGCTGTTGAAGGCATGCCAATGTTATTTATCAACAACAGCAGGTCCCTTAGCGAGATTGCTTTTCATCTCATCTCAAAAGGTTTCATTTTGCAGCGACAGATCAATCAAAATCCCATCTCCAAATGGTGAATTCCTCAGAGTCCATTACAATGTTCGCGTGTATTATATCAGTTTTTCTCCTTCTCTGACTGTAATTTTTTACACTTCAATTCTCATGTTGTATGTCAATTTTGATGCAGGTTTTGATCCCTCTTGAGAAAATAAAGGGTGTTAATGAGAGTGAAAACATGAAGAAGCCATCACAAAAGTACATGGAAATCGTGACCGTAGACGATTTTGAGTTCTGGTTTATGGGGTTCTTCAATTACCAGAAAACTTTCAAATACCTTCAGCAAGCAATCTCCCAAAGACTACTGCATGATGTACTAGTCATTTTCTAGGTGGCTTTGCTATTGCCTTGTCCTTTGTTTCATCAGATTGTTTTTGTTGATGAAATGTTAAATATGGAAGATTTATGGGAAGTGTAAATAAAAAAATAAAACTAGCATATTTTACTGTCATGAGCAGCACATCTAAGAACGTGATAATACATGAAACACTTATAAATACAAATTTATTATAACTGTTACGGATGAGAGAAATAATAATCTATATAAAGGTTACCTTACCAACTTTTTCTATGAACCAAAACTTTGTTGAATTCATTAGAAGATTCAGGATCTGGGCACTTAATGCTATCATGCCACGCGGGGAATTGTAATGATGTGGCCATGACTGTTGCTGGTTTTTGCAACAAGCATTGAAGTACCAAACTCATCCCATTGGTATAGTCCATTAAGCTTTGACCAAAAGCAAATCATGGATTCCTTTTTTGTTAAGTAAAGCTTTATTATCCATAGTTTAATGACTGATTTTGGGGAAGTTGAAAGCAAGTTGAGGCAATCTTTAATCTGCATGGTCATTTCCACCTCAGATATGGTTCATTGCCTTTTCAAAGGAGGCTTCTTACAGTCATAACGGACCCTCTTAGTCATAAAGGAGGCTTCTTTTGACTGATGGAAGGAGGAAAAAGGGACACAAAAAAGGTAAAGAAAAGATAATCACTGCAATTCTTGACTTTTGGTAAAAAGGAAAGGAGAAGGCAAAGAGATTAAATGGATAAAATCAGGGAATTTTGAGTACCTAATGAATTTAGAAGCTTTAAACCATTTTTATCTGTTTACAATCAAATTACAGAACTATTACAGGTCCATTCTGTTCATACAAGCAGTCTTAAAATGCACTTACAGGTCCAGAATTTGAAGCTTAGAATTTGCATTCCTTTCTTTATCTCCAAACTGCAATTTCTTTTGTTTTTTTTAAACCTTTAACCGTAAAATGATTTGGAACTCCAAGATTTACTCCTTTAGATTGAATCAAACTAGGAAATAATTCCCTAGAACATTGGAGAGAACTACAACTGGAGCTTCCTATTACCTCTCTTTTTAGAGAAAGAAAGATGCCAGTGCATATGACAGTAGATTTCACATGGTTGACATTCCTCAAAATGTTCCAACTTCACTCACTGCGTTAACATATCTTTTCACCATGCAATTTGTTTGGCTATTGAGGTTTTCCTTTTCTTTCTTAAAGTATTAGCATAAAAGCAGTGAGAGACATTAGAAAGCTACAATGCCAACTCAAAAAGATTCAAATCCACATCCTCTTACACTCCCAACAATAGAAAAAAAAAGTAACCCACTATGCTTGTTAGGATCTTCTCTCATCTAAAAAGGTAACCCTTTTTTTCTTTTAATTTAATCTTTAAGGTAGTTTAACAGTTTCTAATAACTTGCACAGTTATGATCCTTATCAGGCCACCATCTTTTCTTTAAGGCTTAAATGCCTTTGAACTATATCATTTGTACCGAGTTATCACATGGTCCTTTGCTGGTTTTTTTTCCCTATCCGAGGAGGTTTATCCCTGCCTCGTTGGCATGGCATCTTCATATGAACTGCTTTAACCAATAGTTTTGGCCTTAATTCTCTCAATAGGCAAGTCGAATTCAACATAGATCTGCTCACTAGATGCAGTCGAGGACATTGTCAAATTTGCAATTTTAAAAACCATACTGCAAATCAATATGATCGTAGCTATTAGATAAACCCAGATAAATATGGTGCTCAAGAAACTTAAGTGCAAATGCCTCAACAACGCCCTTTTGCATGCCAACAAGATTAGTTTGGTTCTTGGCTAGTTGACTTGGGAACCAATTATAATGTTACTCCAAATTTGGCAGCCTTGAGTATTGCCAACGACGGCAATATGGTGCTCAAGAAACTTTAGTGCAAATGCCTCAACAACGCCCTTTTTGCATGCCAACAAGATTAGTTTGGTGCTTGGCTAGTTGACTTGGGAAACAATTATAATGTTACTCCAAATTTGGCAGCCTTGAGTATTGCCAACGACGGCAAAGGTTTTTACAAGCCTTGAGTATTGCCAACAACGCCCTTTTTGGCAGCCTTGAGTATTGCCAACTGCCCCTTCATTTCCATCTCAGATAACCTATACTTCATTGCCTTTTCTTGCTCATTTTTACAAGCTTATCAGTTTCTTCATGATCTTTTGACTGATACAAGAGGGGGGAAAGGCATAACAAAGTAAAGAAAATGAACATCGTCACTGCAATTTGCTTACCAAATCTCATCTTTCTTTTTATTTTCTTTCTTTTATTAGCACTAAAGCAGTGGCAGACATCAACAAGGTACAACTCAGAAAAGCTTGAAATCTAGTCATCATCCTTTCTTTAAAAATTATCTTTCAAAAGCCTATGCTCTCTACCTTTAATCTTCTTTTATGAGCAAGAGGTGAGTCATGAAAACAAAAAAGTTAGATTCCACAACAATATCTGTACCCCTTTAAATACCAGTTCCCTAATCCAAATATTCATCAATCATCACCCAAAAACCATCTCTTCCTTGATCATAGAAGCTGAAAGAGAAAAAAAATCCATTTCATTCATCCCAAAAAAAATGAAGAATCAGATACTTGAACAAGTTATTGGAGTTCCCATGAAATCAACAATATATGGAGTCGAGCTTACACAGAAACGATATTTACCGAACACTGCCGGCCAGTATTACATTCCATCTGTGGAAGGGGCTAACGCATTGATAAAAAGTATGTACGATCTCTTTTAATCTGTGGAGGGTTTAGAAATTCATAATGATGATGTTTCTTTAGTACTAATGAGAAAGTTTCTGAATTGCAGCCAAAGGAAATTTTGTTCTTAAGAGGATGAAAAAGCTTGGGAAGAAGGCTGATACTTTTGCACATGGAGTCCGTGAACATGGTATGATACAGCCTAAACATATATATGTAAGCATGAATGTATGTATATGAAAATTGAGGTTATCTTTGAATATGCAGCGAGGCTAGGGCCAAAGATCAGTGAGACAGTACAGAAAAAGTTGAGTTTGGCGGTAAGAATTCTTCAAGTAGGAGGAGTGGATAAAATATTCAAACAATTGTTTTGTGTTGGGGAAGGAGAGAAGCTGATGAAGGCATGGCAATGCTATTTGTCAACAACAGCAGGTCCCATAGCTGGTTTACTTTTCATCTCATCAAAAAAGGTGGCCTTTTGCAGTGACAGGTCAATCAAAATCCCATCTCCTAATGGAGAATTCCTCGGAGTCCATTACAAGGTTTGTATATTTATTTGCTTTGTTTTCCCTCTCACTGTATAATTTTGCACCACTCAATCCTCATGTTGTGTGTTAATTTGATGCAGGTTATGATTCCAGTTGAGAAAATAAAGGGAGTTAATGAGAGTGAAAGCATGAAGAAACCATCACAAAAGTACATGGAAATCGTGACGGTAGACGATTTTGAGTTCTGGTTTATGGGGTTCTTGAATCACCAGAAAGTTTTCAAATACCTTCAGCAAGTAATCTCCCAAAGACTACTACATCATGTACAGCTACAAGTCACTTTCTAGGTGACTTACAAATGTGTTATCCTTCGTTTCATCAGATTGTTTTAGTTGATGAAATATGGAGAAAACCCTTTTCATTTGAGTGAACTGCATAAACAAAGATAGGAGGGAGGCAATCTAGCTTCGTGCCAGCAATGGATAGTTGAAGGTGAACCAACGATAGGGCAATCTATACTCCGGGTACATATGGCTTACGGAGAGTAGAGGATAAACAATTCTTCGTTTAAATTGTGTAGTATTGTTATAGTTTGTTAGGATTACATTTAATTAAGATTAGCTCTATCTATAGCTCTTTGTATTTTCTCTGTATATATTATTGGCTAATGGCCACATCAAATATGTGAAATATCTCTCATTAATTTCTACATATCATGAACCACCCAAAGCTTCATCATACGTTTTTGTTATACCTCTTTCGAATATCCTCCGGCCAACTACAGTTTATGGCTATCATTGATAGGTCCCCATAATCTATTAGTTAAATCTATTATCTGACATTCGGATCTATTTGTATTGTCAACCTAATAGTTATTGTCACGGTCCACGAATTTGGGTCCGTGACTTGTGCGCATAAGCCCGCAGAAGAGGTTCTTTGCGTAGACTTGTGCTTGACAGGGCAATCTAATTTGACCCAATTCTTGAAGAATGCTAGTTCCGTGAAGGATTAAGTCCGAGAGCGTCCGATACAAAAGTGACGAGGACGTTACAAGGTTCGATGGGGGAAATTTTCGAGGCTCGTGGAGTTCAAACCGAGACATGTGTACGCGGATATTAGTAAAAGAGTCGTTCCAAGTATTGGGCCTGCTCAAGACCATCAGAACTGGCCCATTCCTTGGAAGCTTCCAGAAGGAATAATTATCTCATCATTTAAGGAGATAAATACTTAAATTGAGAGAGATAATGTTTGAACTGAATTTGAATCTTTAGATAAGATTCTGATAGGATTTCATTTCAATCTGGGTCGTTGATGTAATTCAATCTAGACTATTAGATCTGAGGGAGCTCAACTATAAATAAGAATATCCCCTCCTCATTTGTAATCACATTCAATTCATTCATTCTCTTCAGAGTAATACAACTCATGCATTTACTCTAAGTATCTCTCTTGTTGTTTTGTTTCTTATGACTTAGTCACTTTGTTTCCTTTATTTCCAAAGCTTCTTAGCTTACTTCCGAGAGACTTAGCTTTATTAGCTTTGTTTCCGACACTTAGCTTTTTCAAGCAGTGTTTCTCTTTTGTCCGTAAAGCCTTTTTGCTTTATTGCCTCTCTCTGTGGCTAGATAGCCCCGATGGTGTTTACTTTCCACAAGAGTTGTTTAATCTTGTTAGCTTTGAAGAGCCTCAAGTGTGTTAGCTTCTGCATCTTTGTTAACCCTTGGTGGGTTTGATCATCGCTTAGTGAGTTGATTTCTCACTTATATGTGGTTAAGGCTGACTTAGGTGCCACTTCAACACGAGAAAGCAT